CCAGCCCTGACAAGGCTTTTCATTGAGTGTAGAATTGAGCTCATCAGAAAGGGTGGAAAGAAAATAGGTCTTTTGGTTTCTGGCTTGTCTCTGGCCTTCCTATCCCTCATTCGAGTTAGATTCCACTCTTGGGGCCATATGGATGGTGATTCCCATGCTCATTCTTTCTCTGGGTCCTTGTTAGGCATCTACTGGTGCTGGCTTTTTTATACTCACAGTATCAGATTCAGCAGTTTTATTTCTAAGAATTAGCTGCATTCTTAGCTCTTAGAAAATGCTTGCAATGTCCAGAGGATGTTGGGGCCACAAATGGCTCTGTTGTCCTGGAGAACTCAAGGGTGCATGGTCCCCCTAGCTAGCTAAGGCTTTTAAGGACAGCGAGTCCAGCCCACCACATGACACTCAATTTGCTTCCTGCAGTGGTCCCCAGCCTGTTCTTTTGTTGTTGTTGTTGTTGTTTTGTTTTTTTGTTTTTTGTTTTCTGACCGGTAAGGGGATCGCAACCCTTGGCACGGTGTTGCCTGCACCACCCTCAGCCAGTGAGTGCACCGGCCATCCCTATATAGGATCCGAACCTGCGGCCTTGGTGCTACCAGTGCCGCACTGTCCCGAGTGAGCCACGGGGCCGGCCCTCCCAGCCTGTTTTTAGACACCTCCAGTGATGGAACACGCATACTTCCCAAGGCAGCCTGGCTCATCTCTGAGCCTTTCTTCTTTGGGGTGGAACGTTAATGCAAATCTCCACTCCTTCAATTTCTTTTTTTGTTTGTTATTAAAAAATGTTTTAAACAGGTAATGGATGTGAAAAGTACGTTTTCCTCCAATCTGCTCCTCACCAGGGTCTCTCACCATTACAGTTTCTAATATTCACTTGCAGAGAGGGTCTATGCATTTGTGCACTAAGAGTATCAACCTATCCTTTTCCTGCCCGCCGAGGGGCATGCTACAGAGGGTTTTGCACCTAGTTTCCCCACCCCCTTCCTCTCTTAACAGTGAAGGTTAACAGTAGTTTGGTTGTGTTACATAGAGATCTGTCTCATTCTTTCCAATGGTTATTATTACTTCATTGTGTGAATATACAGTACTTCCTTTAATTGGTCCTTCATTTATACACGTTTAGGCTGTTTCCTGTCTTTTGCTATTTCAGACAGTGTTGCAACCAATATCCCTGTGCATTCATCTTTACTTTCATGTGTGAATATATCTGTGAGACAAATTCATTAATCCATTTATTTAATGAAAATATTGAGGCCTTTTTATACTCTAAGCACTTTTCTAAGAGCTAAGAATGAAGCAAATTCTCAGAAGTAAAATTGCTGAATCAGAGTATATAAATTTTTAATCTCGATAGAAAGTCCCAAATTGTCCTCCCAAAAAAGGCACTTTGTAGCAATTTTTGCTCCCACCAACGGTGTATGAGAGTTCCTGTTCCCCACACCTTTGCCAAGACAATAAAATATCAACCATTTTTATCTTTGCAGATCTGGTAGGTGAAAAATGGCATCCAACTGCAGTTTCCACCTGCACATGTCTTGCGGTGAGGGGCGCTGAGCACTGTGAAGTTCCATAAATTGCCCTGTGCAGGGGCTGAGACTTGAGCTCTCCTGGTGTGGTCTGCCCTCCACTCTCTGTCTCATTCCCTGCTGCCCTGTGTCACCCCACGTGAGCTCTTTGCCCACCCCTAGCATCAGTACACTTTGACAGGCACCTCGCACCTGCTTTTGGCATTTCCCTGACTGTGGTGGGAGAAATGTCTGCAGATGGGACAAGACGACCACAGGGGTCTGATGCTGGAAGACCACGCCACTCTTGGGGTCCAGACTCAGGAAAGCCAAGAGCCCTGGCTTGGTGGGAAACACACCTCGCTTTTCCCACCCTTCTCCTCTTGCCCCTGGTCTGCCCTGGGACTCCTGCCCTGCCCCATGCATTTTTCAGCCTCACCCCTCTCCTTCCCTTTAACTCTCCCAGCTTACCTCTGGGGCCTCTGACCTCAGCTCACCTGGCAACATTCCCTCAGCCACCCTTTCCTAAATCACCAGCCCTCAGCCTTGCCTCCACCATCCTCCTGTTCATTTCTTCAGCACCAAGCCCCCCTCACCACTGCCTCCTCTTCACCAGCAGCCAAAATCAGTCTCGCCCTGTCCCTGGCCAGGTGCCCACCCCCGGAGCTAGCATGCACACCTTCCTGTCCTGCTGGAGCCCCAGGCCCTGCTTCTGCCAGTTTGTGTTGCCTCAACCTGGGCTGCTGCTCCCTGCTGCGCCAGGGCCATCTCTTTATGGGTTTTGTCCTTCAGCTCTGTGGCAGCTCTTTCTCTCTGGGGCCATGGGCTCCCTACCTCTCCTACTTGCTCTGTCTCCCCCTCCCCACACTACCTTCCCACCTCTTTCCTCCCTCCCCACCTTCTCCCCTTCTTCCCTTCCACTCTTCCTCCCTTCCTCAGTACTCCTTTAAGGTAAAAGTATTCAGGTTAAAAAGTGAGTCAATTTAAAGAAAAATAATAAATTAACATAATGAATTAAAAATCTGGTATTTAGATATGGCAATAGGCAATAAAGATAATATATAATTGCATGATGTTTGAAAAGAATCTGACTTGCCCTGTTAACCTGGGCTGAGAAAGCAGCTTCTACACCCTTGAGTATAGTCCCACATTTCGTTGTCAGTTCCTGGTGATGGTTATAACTTGGGTAGGGAGCAAACTTTTCTCTATTGGTTTCTGTCTGTGTCGAAATGCTCACATGGCATGGCTGTCATTTACAGAGCACTCACTATGTGCCAGATGCTTTGCCAAATCCCTTTCTGCATTGTCTCTTCAGTCGTTACCATAGTCCTATGAGGTGCATACAATTGCCATCTTAATTTTTCAGTTGCAGATACTGAGGCACACAGAAGCTAAGTAACTTTCTCAAGGTCACACAACACAGGACTCTGAGGCCTGGCTGGTAACCACCATTCTCTGTTCCTCCCAAGCAGGGGAAGAGCCAGGATTCACCTAGGGGCAGATTTATGATTTGTGATGGCAGCTGGCTTTAGTGTCCCATTTGAGCAAAGACATAAGCCTTCACTAAGGTGCCCAAAGAAAAGCTATCAGAGTTTGATCTTCATTTGGGGGCTTCATGGATAATGTTTGTGGAGTGACCATATTCACTGGTGAGAGACAGTTGAAGGCAACTACACCATCACGTCCAGTGCACAATCTTATTCCTCTCCCTGAGCTCCTCATAGGCAGCAGCCAGTCCTGATGTGTCTCTGCATCCCTACTGTCTACTCTGTGCCATCTGTTAATGAAAACAAAACACGAGGATGTGAGCTGAGGAGGAAGAAAGGCTTTGCATTAGGATATATAAGGAAACACCCCAGCAGCACTGAAGACAGGGAGGAGCTTGGAAGAAACCAGGCAGGAACTGGGAACGAGGCATGCACGGGTGGAGGTGAGGATGGCAGAACCAGATGGAGGCAATAACCAGCGATGGCAGAGGCCTTGTCTGTCTGTTTTCCAATAGAGTGACACTTTGTGCGCAAACATACAGAACCAAAACAGAACGATCCCAAGCCCATACGTTATGAAACTCTTTCACTAAAATTTGGTGATAATGTCTCAGTTTGACAGAGGACATAAGGTCAGTGCAACGTGTGTATTTCAAGTGGAAAATGACAATCTGCTCTTTGCACAAGATGGATAGAGCTTTTCGTTGAAATTTTATGGAATATGCAAGAACTCTGCCAAATCATGAACTTGGCAAAAATTTGCCTGTTCTGGGAATTAGGCGATTTCAGGGCTTCCATTTGGTTTCTGGGTCTGTTACACACATGCCCATGTTGATCTGAATGTGGAGGCCCTTGTGACTTGGGGCTTTTCTTTCTCACTGCCTGTGTTTGTCTTTTCTCTCTGCATCTTTGGCCAAATTTGTCCCCCCTGTTTTCTTTTCTTGTCCTCCATTTTTTCTATTCTATTGTCTTCTCTCTGGACTTGATTCCAAAAGAGAGAAAACAGAAAGATATTTCACTGGTAGAATTTTAATGAATGGATGCCTGTTTCCATTCATTGTTTTTATTTTTTCTCTAGGAAACCATCTAGATGCAAATTGCAATAAAAAATGAATTCTTTCATATAATAAAATACAGGAAATCAATGTTTATTATTGAAATCAATTGCAAATGTTGTGAGACTATTTTGTCATCAAAATTATTAGTATGTAATCACACATTTTGAAAATAAGATCAATAATTTAAAAAAACAATAGTTTTTTTCTTTTCAGGTGTCTTTGTAGAATGCCCTACTTCTCTATTCCCATTTCTTTATTTTTTTGAAAGCATTTTTAGCTTCCTTCAGCTTCTTCCACCCCATTCTTGATTACTCTTGGCTTATGGGAATTCTTTCAAGCTCCATTTTCTTCTAACGTCTTTAAAATCTTTTCTTCCAGTTACTAGTTAAGAACCAGTAGCCTGAGCTGTTCATCAATGAATTTAACACACTCAGTCAGGGTGACCGATTCAGCCTTGCAGGTTGACGGTGCCCCTCCCCGCTTGTGGGGACCACCTACCCTGCCCACTTGCCTAAGAATTCCCTCTAATGAAAGCAGTTATGTGGGAGAATGTTTTATCTTTGGGGACTGGTCTTTTCACTCCCCTTCTCTCTGACCCCCAACCAGATGCAGGGACTGCTCCTTCTTGCCCACCTGCAGAGCCTAAACCTGAGTTAACAGGGGGCAAGAGGTGCAATGTTCCCCACCCTGATCCGCACCCTGGGGGCTGTGGATTTGCTACCCAGAGAGCTGATAGCCTCAGTGCACAAGCCGGGGACTCTGAGTTGGACCTCCATACACCTACTGCTTCCTGACCCTTGAAGAGGAGGTGGAGGTGCTGGCCCCTGGGTGTCCCCGCCCCCAGATGTCCCACAGGTTGGGAGACTTGGCTTGCAGATTCCTTCCGTGCCCTGGTTTCCCCATGGCCAGTCCTCTTCTGGCCTTTTCCCCTCAGTCTCCTTCTCTGCCTGTAGCTGCGCACTGGCCCTTCCTCTGGGCCACAAAGGGCTCTGTAGACAGCCGTTGTGTGCTGTTTGCCAACACGGGCGCCTGGGTATGCAGAGGGGCGAGGGAGAGGCCATCTGCTCTCTCCTTTCACACAGACCTTTGCTTTCTCCCTTTCACTCTCCCCCTTGCTCTCTGTCTTTGAATACACAGACAAAAAAAATGCACTTGCTAATTAGAGCAAAGAATGAGTGTGAGCTGGAAGAGGGGCTCAGCAGAGAGACCAGCCCCCGTGCAAACCGGCCGCCTTTTAAGAGCCAGGGAGGAAGGCGACAAGGAGGGGCCCCTGAAGGGGCTTGGGAAGGATATTTTGACAAAACAAGCAACAAAGCTTCTTCTTCAGAATGGCAAAGCGGGGCTTCGTCTTCACCTCCCATCATGAAAGGGGAAGATACAAACGACAGAGAGCTGCTTGTGACCTCCCACTGCCACCTCCACCCACGCGGCTCCTCTTGTCTTCTCTCCCTCCGTAGCCCTGTAAACAATGGTTTCCATTCTGCGGACTCTTAAGTGTATCCTTCTATTGATAATTTTTGTGCTGGCTGGCAGAGAGCAGGCGATCAGTGGCTTCTCCTCCCAGGCGGGGCTGGCTTCTCCTTGCAGACAGCTCACTCATGCAGGAGCAGCTGAGTCACCAGAAATCCCGGCTTGGAAAGTGGCCTCCGACAAATCAAGACTTTCTTTCAGGGCTTTTCCCCCACACTTTGTTCTATTCTTGGTTCACCAGGGGTGGGCAATTTCTTTTCCCACCTGCACCCCATGTCATCAGATTCACGAAGAGCTGGCTGGTGTGTGGCTGGGAGACAGCAGCCAGTGTTAGGACAGGGCTCTGCTCTGATCCTGAGCTCTTCAAACCCACTTCATGCTCACAGAAGGTTCTGGACACCACAGCAACTGGGGCTGGGGGTGCCTGCATGGCATTTCTGGCTGGGTTAGAACAGAGCTGCCCCATGCTTCGCTCAGCCAGACTCACTCTGAAAGCCCACAGGTGCCCAGGAGCAGCTCTGGAGAGCCATCAGGAGGAGGGAGGGACACCCGATGACTTGGCCTCTGAGGTGCAGCTTCTCCAGGCATGAGGTGAATGGACCGATGGCTCAGATACGGAGAGATTTGAAGTAAGGGCCCTGTGCCTCGAAAAAATGAGGTAATTTTCTGATTTCTTGTGAGAGTAAATAGGTGAAAATGAGAGCGGTGAAAGCCTCACCGTGATACACATCAGTACTGCTTAGTCACGAGGGAGAAAGGAGGAAGAAACAGAACTTGGAAAGGAAGGATTATAATTAGTGCATTCTCTGCCATTGGTGGCTGTTTAAGGCAGTGGCTACATATGAGAAGAGAGAGTGACCCACTGGAATCTGCTGAGAAAATCCTCTGATTCTGAGATGAGGTCTCAAAACGAACTTTTCCGGTCAGGTGGCCACACTCAGTGGGCCTGTCTCTAACACACAGGTGCGCCTCCTTGGACCCTCAGTGCAGTCCAGCTTAGCCCTGCCCAAGGACCTCTCTAGAAAACAAGGGAATGAATCCATATACCGTGTGACTAGTCAGGGAAAAAGCCGTTGAGAATACAGCCGTCGATGTGTAGTTAAGAGCTGGTGGTAGAAGGCTTGGGTTGGTCAACCCTGGCTCCACGTTTACTAGTAGAGTGACTTCTCTGGGCCCATTTTGCTCTGTGTTATATGAAGCTACAGTGACATTGAGCTCATGTTGCTGCTAAGACTTTATGAGAATCTGCCTGGGTATAGCTTAGCAAAGATCTTGGCACATTGCAAGGGTTAAGAAATAGAAGTTGATATTGTCAACATTTTCATTATCAAACAAGCCAGGAGTTAATTTTCTTTCAATATTTGGTGCTGGTTCTGTTGAAACATATGGGAATTGTGCAAAGAATGTGGTAAATTTACAGAGGTCCAGTAAGTTTTAAGAAGGCTTAGATAACATGATCCGGGTCATGGGAACATAAAATATTTTAAGGTAGAGTCTTTGAAGATAGTTGAAACTTCCCTTTTAGTCATTAATGGATACGGGTTTGTCCAGTTTGTCACTGCATGATTGAATTCTTTTTTAATTAATTTTTTTCTTTTTGTGGCTTTAAATTTTATTTTTTTTTATCATACAGAAAATTTGACTTCTCTTGGTGAACAGCTGCATGAATTTTAACATACATAAATTTGTGTAACCATCATCACAATCAGTATAGAGAAGAGTTCTCTTCTGCTATTTCTTTGTACTCACCCCCTCTTTCCACCTCCACCCCCTGGTAACCAATAATCTGTTTATTATTGCTACTGTATTGTATTTTTAAATGACATGATACAGTATATCAGCCTTTTGAGACTGGCTTCTTTCACTCAATGATTTTAATGCCTGTGAAATTCATCTAAGTTGTTACATGTTTCAATAGTTTGTTCCTTTTTTTTTTTTTTGCTGAGTAGTATTCCATGTATGGATGTACCATCGTTTGTTTATTCATTCACTTGTTGAAAAACATTTGGATTGTTCCAGTTTGGGGTTATTATAAATAGAGTTGCTATAAACTTTCATGTATGTGTTTTTGTGTGGAGTATACAGTTTCATTTCTCTAGGGCAAATACCTAGGAAAGGGCTTACTGGGTTATATGGAAATTGTATGTTTAAATGCCACACCGACTTTCTGAGTGGCTGTACCATTTTGCATTACGTCAGCAATTATGAGAGTTTCAGTTTATCTGCATCCTTCTCAGCATGTGGTATTTATTTTAGCCATTTTACTAGGTGCATGATGGTATCTCATGATGATTTTAATTTGCATTTCCCTAGTGAATAATAATGTTGAATATCTTTTATGTGCTTATTTGCCGTCTGTTTATCCTCCTTGGTGAAATGCACGTTTAAAATTTTTGCCCAAGTTTTAATTAGGTGGTTTGTTTTCTAACTGTTCAGTTTTGAGAATTCTTTATATACTTTGGATACAAGTCCTTTTGTTGAATATATGGTTTGCAAATATTTTCTTCCAGTCTGTAACTTATCTCTTTATTCTCTTAACAATGTCTTTCACAAAGCAAACATTTTTAATTTTAATGAAGTCCAAATAACCCATTTTTTCCCCAGTTTATCCAATCAATCATTTTTTCACTTGATCTAGGTCATGTCCAATTTCTTCGCCTAACCTTAGCACAAAGGTTTTCTCCTCTGCTGTTTTCTAACAGTTTTATAGTTTTATGTTTTCTGTGTAGGTCTATGATCCATTTTGAGATAACTTTTGTTTAAGGTATGAGGTTCAGGTTGGAGTTAGCTTTATTATCGTTTTGCCTATGATGTCCAGTTGTTCCAACAGCAGAGAGATATGTGGGTGGCTCCTTCATACTCTCCAAGCCTTTACTTGACCCTTTTAGTGACCCCTACCCTGACCACCCTCCTCCCAGTGTGGACCACCCTCAGCAGTCCCCCATGTCCCTTGCACTGCTTGTTTTTCTCCATATCACTTTCCGTCTCTATCACAGTGTGCACTTTACAGATTTATGATGTGTATTATCTGTCTGTCCTCTCTAGAATGGAGGCTACATGAGGGCAGGGATATCCGAGTGTGTGTGTGTGTGTGTGTGTGTGTGTGGAGGGAGGGCGTGCTTGTTAGGTGATGGATCCTGAGTGGTTAGTAAGTATTTGAAGAAGGAAGAAGCTGGGTCCCCTAGGCCACAGGGCTGCATAGGGAGAAGCCCAGGGACTGAGGTAGAGCCCCCAGGCAAGCAGCAGCCATCAGATGGGAGCCCAGGCTCCCCACCCCACAGGTTCATCAGGCAGAACCGGTTTGTGGAAGTTCACACTCAGGAGCTCTTTCTCACCTGCCCGCCCACCATATTGTTTGAAGCTAACAAGAACTTAAGCAATTAAACCATTTTCCCTCTCAGCTTAAAGTATTCGTTCCTTGAAATTTAAGCTTCATCCCTTTCTTACCCTTATATCTCTTGAAAGAAAGAAAGTGCTCTAAAGCCCTGGGAAAGTTATCTGAAATTCTAATCAGCACTCAATGCTGGGTGCTAGAAGTGATTCAGAGATGAGGTGGTGGGCAGGACAGAGGGGGCAGAGAGGAAGTCTGTTTCAGAAGCAAAGTTTGCTAGAATGGAAGCTTTCAACTGGCTAAAAGTGCTCCAGTTCCAGCAATGAGGCTTAACTTATCACGTGTGAAGCCCAGGGAATCTGAGAAACAAACATTGTGAAGATATGGAGAGACCAGAAGAAAAGAGGGCAGATTAAATAAACTGGGGTAAGGGGTGGAGGCTTAGTGGATTCCTGTTTCCTGCAAATGGAGCCCCTCCTCTTCATTCTGACAATGCCCTGGCTTCCAACTTCCTTTCCTTGCTGGGGGCATCACTGTGCTTTCAGCCTGTCCAGTAGTGGGTAGAGTCACATGACATGTCTCCCAGGGGTCTGCTCTAGAATTTTCTTGTAGGAGGGGCTCAGGGGCAACAGTCCAACAGTCTGGTTGGAGGGTGGGGAGGGAGCTGGCTAGGCACTCGAAGGCTGTTTTGCACAGCAAGTAAAGTGAATGTTTACTTGGAGCAGGGGCACTGATGGGAATAGGATGGGAGAGCTGCCACTGTGTCTGTCAAGCCCTGGCTGATGAGGGCTGGGGCAAAGCCTTTGCTGATCTTTCTCCTTCCTCCATGCAGAGGAACCAGTCCCCCTAGATACACCCCCCTGCCCTCAAAGCAATAGCCTGCAGGTCCAGGGAATCCAGGCAAATTGTCCTACTCCTGAAAGATTTCTGAGCAACTAAGGCTCCTGGCCTGTGTGGAAAAGCAAACCTATGTGTAGCTGTTTTCTGTTGTTTCTACCACCGGATGGACTGAGCCAGCTAATTTTGATACCTCTGTTTCAGTTCAGTGGGAGGAGTTGCTGATTTTGAATCATCAGACCTATGAGGGTGAGGGGAACAAACTAGTAATATTTCTTAAATTATACTTTAATGAAGACTCCCATTAACACTTGTCATAATTCACAGAAAAGAAGCCCAAGCAGAGCTGGTTGAAATGTCTCCCTTTGTCTTTCTTTGAAAAAGTGTTATCAGCTTAAATGGAGGGCTTAATTACAGATCAGAAACAGAAACTGGCGGAGTCTGAGAACTGCCTCTGCCCTGCGTGGACCAATCCTCGTGGCCATGCCTGCTGCCTGCCTCCTGGGGCGCGCTGTGGGCGGGGTGGAGACCTGCCCCAGGAGAGGCTGCATGTCCTCCCCTGCCCCCTTCCCTTCCTCCCGCTTCCTTTCCTTCCCCTCAGAGCGTCCTTGCTGTGAGCTTCTTAGCTGTGCAGACAGTGCCTGGATCTTGGGATCTTTCTCTGAGTGTGTGTATGTGTGTATATATATATATATATATATATTTTTTTTTAAGAGGTAGGTAGTGCTGAAACATTGTTACAAAAATTGTAGTATAATTTAAGTGTTCTCATTCAACAAATGCTTTTAATAGAAAAATTGCAATACTATATGTTCTGCTACCAGAAGAGACTTGCAGGATTTATAAAACGTGCTCGTGTGCGGTGTCCTGGAGGCAGACTGCCTGAATGGGACACGATTTTTAAGTTGTGGATGAGTTCTTGTTTCAGTCCTGTGAGCATATCCCACTGACAGTGAGTTTGAGGACTTTCTTGATTGGGAGCAGGCCAAATGGCTCCCACACCTTACCTGTGACAGCCCTGCTTGGTCCCTGAGTCAGGGTGGGTGGGCAACTCTGACCAAGGTGGGTCCCTTGTGCACCGGCACATCCCAGGCTGGGCCTCAGCTGCATCTGCCATCTCTGGGTTCAATGGGGGCCTGGTCTGGCTTCTCTTCTTGCTTCCCCACAGCCCAGGTGGGTGCTGCATCTACAGAGACATTGGAGTCTGATTCAGACCATAGGTAAATCTGATGCCTAATTGATCTGGGGGGGCCAGCACAGTTACTCTCCTTTCTTGGGTGTGGGGAATGTGCTATACTTCAGGAGCCCCAGCTCTGGCAGCCCCTGTGGTCTCAGGGTGCTGGCAGGCAGGTGGGTGCCCTGACACACCAGTCTACAGCCTGTTCTAGGTAAGGGGACTGTTCTCTCTGGCTGTGTCCACTGGCCCCCATGCCTTTCCTAGAGAATGGGACAGGGGGAACTTGATAGTGAAGGGCAGGCTGACCAGCAAGGTCCAAAGCAAGTCCCTGGTTGGGCCTGCAAGAAAAGCCCCCTGCTTCTTTATTATGGGGAAGCCAGCTGGAGGCCTGGCAGTGGGAGGGGAGCTGAGCAGAAGCCCTCCTTGCCTGTATTCTGGTCTTAAAAAAGGAATGATTTGAGCAGAATTTAAATGCACAGAAGTGGCAAGGGTGGAATGGGGTGGGGGTTGTCAAAAAGCCTGGGGAGAAAACATTTCTGGAATATTCAGTCCTGGAGAAAAACTGCAGCTCCAGGCTCCGAGGCCTGACCCAGACAGTGTGTCTTATCCCTTTAGGGAGACACCGAGAAATGTTGTCTGACCTGGAAAAACAAGAGGAGGATGTCTGCAGGAGGGATGACCCAAAGGCCAGAAGAAAGCTGGTGATTCAGCTGGAGGGAAGGTCTTCAGAGAGTGATGTAGAGTGATTTAGGGCTGCATCTGGGCTGGGTGCGTCTCATCTCTTTGCCTTTACCCTTTATCCAATTGCAGTGGCCTCTAACCAAACTCTAGTTCATCTCCTGTCTCCAGATTCATCTTCCTAAATCCCAGACTGAGCTGGTCACTGCTATGCTCAGAAACTCTTGTAGCTCTCCATTGCCTGCAGGATTAACAGCATGTTCTCAGGCGAGCATTCAAGGGTGCACAGATACCACAGGCCCCACTCTCAGCTGGGTTAAGAGTATAGACAGACCTGGGGTCAGACTCTCTGGGTTCAAACTCCAGTGCCACCACCTATATGGCTCTGGGCAAGGACTTGGTTTCTTCAGCTGTAAAATGCACATAACGGTCACCTGCTTCCAGGGTGCTCATGAGGACTTGAGTGAACTGATGCTCAGGGCTTACAGCACTGCTGGCCTTCAGAGGGCATTCAGCGTGGGTTAGTTCTGACTTTCCAGCTCCAGCGTGCTGCGCCCCTGCCCCATCCCTCTTTGCTCCAGCAGTCCACACCATCAGTCTCAGCAACCTTCAGGGCTGCCTAAACTTCAACCTCTTCTATAAAGAGTTTTTGATTTCCTATTGCCATTGCTAGCTGGCCATCATGATTGACTTTTTTGTTGGTACCTGCCACATAGTACATGGCCTATTTGTTTCCCCTTGCCCTCTTTGCCCCTGTGTCCCCAAGCCCCTGAGGCAGACTGCTACTCCTGAAGGGGGCCAGCCATCCCGTGACTTCTCCATTTCTGGCTGTGCAGCAGCACTTTCCTGTTTCCTGCAAGGAAAGGGCTCTGGTGGTCTGTCCGGCTGAGCTGCTCTGTGCCTTGCCCCTCGCTGCCTCTCTTCCTTCCTCGCTGTTCCTCTCTTCTGCCTGCCACCACCCATCCCCCTCTGTTTCTCTCTTTTTCCTGCCCTGTCTCTATCTCTTCCCTTTTGATTCTGCTTGTTTCTCTGACCTCCCCCACCTCTCTCATAATGAGAACTTTCCCACCTCATATTGATTTGCAGTTTTAAAAAGCCCACATTGATTTTTCTGGGGGACTTTTCATGATCTTATTTTTAAATGTAGGAAGAAAGCTATATCCAGAGCTGTTGACTTTGTTCTACTGAGTTAGGAAGTTGATGGTGGAAACTCTTTTCTGGAGACTCTGAGAGCTTGGGGACCTCAGATGTAACATCTAATGAGCTGGGGTCAGGGCTGTCCTCCCTTCAGCTGGTCTGAGTCGACAGAAAGCCTTGGGCGGGCGGTGGGGGTGCCTTATACAGCTGGCCTGGATTTGAGGATAAGGCTAAAGAGCATGTGCAGAGACAAAGCAGAAATACTGCAGACTCTATTGGAGTGAAGGGCGGGCTTGTGGGGAGGAACGTGCTGGTGAGGCCCATCCCTTGCTGCTCTGGCATCAGAGACAGTTTCCCTGCACTGCCTCATCTATTCCCACATGTGGCATATGTTGACCCAACACCTGCCCTGTGTACCTGGTTCTGTGCCCAGGGCTTTGCCCTCGCGATCTCATTTAATCCTCCCAATAACCTCAGGAGGCAGGTCACATTATTTACGTCTTGCTTTATGGGTAAGAAGACCTTATGGGACTAATTAAAGCTCGTGAAGGACACTAGTTTTTTGTTTGTTTGTTTGTTTTTCGAAGTATTTATAAAGATAAAATAACAGAAAGGTTGAAGAAGGCAGAGTGAGGGGAGGCAACTTCTTGCCTACTGGAGGGTGTGTGCGTGTGTATGTGTGCACACATGCAGGCTGCATTCAATCTTTTGGGGATGAACCTGGATATATATAAATAAGCCAACCAACACAATCAAGTGACTGATGAGGATATTGGATGCAGGGGAAATAACAGCAGGGAAGTGAGATGATATGCTGCTGAAGGTCCTGGCACCCATGGTCACAGGAGGGCCTTCTGGATGGATTGGTTGGTTGTCACCAGGTCTGATCCACCCTCCTCCCCTGAACTGGGACCTCCCTCCTGTATGTGAACTCAAAGATCTATGGAAGCAGCCAGGAGAGCAGCAGCCACACATCTCATCTGGCTCAGGCTCCCGGGCGAGGGCAGAGAGGAGGGTCAAGGGCACGACTGGATAGATGCAACAGCGCCTCTGGGCACTGTAGCCTGGTGGCCCCCTGGCAAATGCGGGAGAACATCCTCACCTGGTTCAGTAAAGGCTGGGCAGGGCAGGGCCAAGTCACCAGAAAGTTCACAGGTGATCAAACCATCCTGAGATGACATGGAACCTTTGGCCTGTGTGCCAACTTTCTCATATTGTCAAAGATACCTAATTCTGCTGCAGAAGTTTATTTGTTTCGATTGGAATAGTCTTGCTCCCTTTTCACCTAGTGAACTTCTCATTTTTTTTTTTTTTTTTTTCTCAGCTTAGGAGTCGCTTTCCAGGAGTCACCCCATCTCTTCTGCTTCGTGCCTCTAACACCTATCATGGCCCAGATGTTTTTTTCTGTGAGGCCACATTTACTTACGTAAACCTTTCATGCAAAATTGCATTCTAAAATAACAGTGTTGGGGCAGAAGGGGTGATGGGGAAGGTTAGGGCTTGTCATTCATCACCTGCAGAGCTTTGTAACCAAAGCCCCAAGAAAAACAATCCTAGTAAAAACAGCAGCCCAGGTAAATCTCTTCCAGCATTTACACCCAGTCTCCCAGTGGGTGGAGACTTTGTGGCTTGAACTCTGGGGCTCTGCCTTCTCCTGGAAAATGTAGGTGCTAAAGAGCATCACTTCTAGTTGAGACCCAGATTTCTAATCAAAATAAGAAATCTGACAATTTTTATTTGTAAATTATACCTCAAGAAAGCTGAGAAAAAATCTGAAACTTCCTTGCAGATTTTTGACACAGGAGAGACGTCTTTGCAGCTTCCTTGTCTGCATGTCCCCCTTCATAGCAGAGCCGAGTGGAGGAGTGGAGGTGCTGGAAGCCACTAAACCACAGCTTATGCTAAAGGAGGCACTTTCAGCTTGTGCTTCCTACTTCACAGGGTGCTGTCACTGTCGCCAAGGTGTTGAGTGGCCTGGATGCTAAGGCGAATGCCTCGGAGAAGCCCCAGCTCCACGCCTCTTGCCTCTTGGTGAAGGTGTGCTCTGAGGAGGGTGGGGTGGTCCTGCAGATCCACCCTCAGCAAGAATGGACCCCATATCCTGCATTCCTGTAATACTCCCTCCAGGGGCGCCCATGGCAGACTCCCCCCAAACACCTGTTCTTTCATTGTTGTGCTTTCCTTGCAAGCATGGTAGCAAGGCCCAGAATGTTTCTGGCAGACTCTCCTTCAGTGACTGGGAGCCCCTCTTTTCTCCCTTCCCCTCCACATTCCCCACCCCAGTTTCTCACTATCACCCTGGCCACATTCAGTCTTCTCCAGGGTCAGGGTCCAGCCTGTACCCTCTGATTTGCCCCTGGTGTGAAATTGTCTTTTGTCTGTGTGTGGGGTGCTCCTCACAGGCTTGATCTCCATGGCTCTCCCTGAGTGCCTTTCCTCCACCCTCTCCCTCCCATGCCCACCCCTGGAAGGATGTGTTTCTCTACTCTCCTGAGATGCCTCTGGAGCACCCCCATCCCCGGTTGCTCCACAAAGGCCTAAGAGTGGAGGCCTGATGCCAGTGAACGTGGGAAATCGCCCTGAGCCCATGGTCAGGGCTAGAAACAGCCTCTGCCCAGCTCTGGTTCTACCTGGAAAGGAGGGAAGGACAGGAGACCCTTGCCCAGCGCCCTCTCACCCTCCATTTTCCTTTTCACAGTATTCAGGCCTGTTTGTTGGATCCCAGACAGTGGGGTCGACACTGGAGATGCCTGACATCGCCACCACACTCATGCACCCACCTTTGGCTGAATTCACCCCCTCTGAGGATGAGGTGACTGCTTGTGGAGGCTCAAAAATTGGAGATCCAAGCTCTCCCTTCTTTCCCTAGAAATCCCCCCACCTCCACACGCCATCAAGTTACCAAGTCTGTTCTGCTGGAAGCTCTTGAGCCTGCCCTCTCTCTCCTGCCCTACCCTAAGCCACTGCAGTTGGGCCTCTCTGGTCTCCCTGACTCCTGTCCTGGCCTCTCGGTGTATCTTCCACACAGCTGCCCAGGGATTTCTCCAAACGTAAAGCGGGTCCCACCTGCCGTGGGAGACTCTTCCTTACATCTGTTACTCTCACGATAAAGTCTAAAACCTTCTGCCTCAGCACCAAGGCATTTAGAAACCTGCTCCCCTCCTTCCACCCCAACCTGTCCAAACCCATCTCCTGCAGCCCCACTTTAAGCATCAGGCCACATAGCACTAAGGGATTCCCAGAATTGAGCCTGGGCTTTCAATGCTTCAATATCACGTATACACAATCTTTCCTCTTCCTGGGTTTCCCTTTTTGTTCCCTGCAGTTGGCACAACTCCAGGTCTGCTCAAATGGCTCCTCCTTCCTAAGCCTTCCCTGTCTTCCATCCCCAAAGACGTGTTAGCAGCTTTGGCTTCTGCGTCCCCAGTGCTTCGTGAGCATCCGACTCTGGTGGCATCCATCATGCTGTACAGGCAGAGTCTGTTCTCTCACCTGGTCCTCCCACAGGACTGCGAGCTGTGGCAGGACGCGAGCTGTGGCAGGACGGCCTCAGGTCGCTTTGTGGCCCCAGCACCAGGCACAGTAGTGAATGAAGGAAGGAGAGAGTAGTGTGGCAGCTGCCCAATAAGTTGAGAGGGGGGACACTGCTGCCTCTGGCTTCAGAGGAGGAAAACAGAACCTGCCTTCTGAGGGTTCTTCCACCACAGCACAGTCCCTGTGGAGGGTGTGGCCGTGGGCCAGGGCCACATCTAGAAGCCAGGCAAACACTCAAGATTTCTGGCGTCATAATATGTCTTATCAAAGCTCCCAAGGAACAAAATCAAGATGTTGGAATATTTTTCTTTGGGGAAGGAAATATTCTCAACTTATATTTAGCATGGTACAGTATCTTCTACCTTGTTATTTGACTGACAGAAGTATATTTAAGCTATTTTTAACCTGGAACCATAGGGAGAAGAAATCTAGTGATTAGATCTTTGGAAGCTATTGTGTAATTTTAAAACTTTGGTAAAGGAGCATGTTTAAAGAAAAAAAAAAAGCCAACCAGATTGATATGTTTCAGTTCTTCCTGCAACTTTAGACTTTTGTTCCAAAGGAATCCATTGTCTTCAGAAAGGAGACTCTAGGGGGTGTGTGGAACTAGCTCCATTCTCCACACTAGCTTGAGATTATGTTCTTCTCTTCAACAAAATCTTTCAGAAAGGCTTCATTCTCTCTATTGACAGCAACAGTGAGCATTGGTACAGAACTTAGCAAGCTGCACTTTCCCATTGACTTTTTAAGCAACCTTGTGAGGAAGTTCTTACTGTGACAATGAAGATTCCCATTTTGTAGAAAGGAAAAATGCAAACAGGAGTGTTTGGATGACCAACGCAAGATGATCTAGTTGGTGAGTGGTTATAGGTAGTATTTAGGCCCAGATCCTCTCTCCTTAAATCATATGTTTTTATCGTTGTTACTTTGATGCTCAAATTCAAAAGTTATTTGGGGTATCCCCACATGGCACTGCTGGAAACCTAAACTGGTGGGATTGTGTTTGGTTACCTACTGCTGCATAATAAACCACCTTAATGGTTGCATAAAATAGCAACCATTTTTATTGTGCTTTCAGATTCTCTGGATCAGGAATTTGGACTGGGCACAACAGAGATTGATGTCTTTTGCCCCATTGTGTCTGGGGCCTCAGATTTGAATGGCTGGGAGATGGAGCCACCTGGAGGCTTCTCACATGTCTGGCACCTTGGCTAGGATGACCAGAAGGCAGAACTCAGCTGAGACTGTTGACTGGAACCCTTATATATGCCTTCTCCATGTGGCTTGAGCTTCCTCATGTCATGGTAGCCCCAGGGCAATTGGTCTTCTCTTGCGGTACTTCAGGGTTTCAAAAGAGAATGTTTCAGTGACCAACACAGGAGCTACATGGCTTTTATGACTCAGTCTCAGAAGTCACATATCATTACTTCTGCCATACCCCATTGGTCGAAGAAGTCACAAGCCCATCCAGATTCAAGAAGGGACATAGACCCCATTTGTCAATGGGAGGTGTCTCAGGAATGTGCAGCCATTTTTGAAACCCCAACAGACTATTTCTCTTCTGCCTAGATTGATCTACGGTCAGTGCTATCTGGAAGAAAGGAGATAAACAAGGTAATCTCTAGAGACTTGCTAGCAGTAGGTTCTGGTAATACCCTAGATTTCTCCATCAGCATGAGAAGAGAGGCTATGTAGAGTGTCCCATTTAGTTCTCCCTGGCAGTACCAGGTCAGAGAAGAGGTGGCTCTTGTCCTCCTTGCTACTGATAAACAATCTGTGCATGTATGTCTTTATGTAAGACGGATTATCTGGCACAGGCTAGGAGTTTATGTATTATATGGTTTGATGATTCTCTGCCTGCTGCTCATAAGCCATAACACCATGCTACCTTGGAGGGACAATATTTTATCTGGTACGATCCTTCAGAGGAAAGATATTAAGAACCTCTCTGAGACAGGAGAAGCCAAAGAGACAGATTCCTGGGAATCCTTGATCTCAAAGGGCTCCCCTCCTTCAAGGCTGGATCAGGGAGATGAGCACAGGACAGGCAGGCTATCAGAATTTGCAGGGTCACCCTTGTGCCAAGCCTTAGCTGATGCATTGGGGTCTCCTGAAACACATGTTGACCAGCTGCTTCATTCTTGGTAGTCAAGATGGCCCAAATGAACTTTCTCACCTCATTTCCCACATGGTGCTCCTCTCACCAGCACTCCAGCCACACTAGATTTTGTCATTACACAAGCCATGGTACCTGTACCAGTCAGCCTGGGCTAGGTTGTGCTGCAGTAACAAACATCCCCCAAATCTTTATGACCTAAGATAGCACAGGTTTATGTCCCCCTCATCATGGCTTGGCAGAGAGTCTGTTCCATGTCATTGACAGTGATCTGCCAGAGGAAAGTGAGCTCTGGAGGGTATTGCATTGGCAATTAAATGCCCTGGCTCAGCAGTGACACATATCACTTCTATTTACAACTCATTGGCCAGAACTGAACTCATGGCCTCACCCCACCTCAGAGTGGCCAGGAAGTGTGATTCCACAATGTGCATATAACACACCTAGAAAAAATGGCAATTGCATTGAGTACCACATGACTACTACCATGCTCTCAGTAAGTTAGTATCTTTGCCCTCTCTTTAGAATGTACTTTTCCTTTTCTCCACGTTTTTATTCATGCATCTGTGCCTGCATACATCCATGTATCCACCCACCTACCCACCCATAAAATGTCTAGTGAGCATCCTGTCCTGTGCTCAGGTATGGCTCTAGGTGCTATGTATGTGGAGATGAAAAGATTCTCTGGAGAAGTCCATAATCTTATTGGAGTTGTTCAAACTCCATCTTTTTCAGGCTGTAGCTAGACTCTCCACGAAGACAGCCAGTACCAATGGCTCTTTCCTTGATAGTATGTCGTTGATGATTAAGCATAATAAGAACTATTATTTAGTTATTACTGAGCCCTTTCAATAAGCCAGATACTTTGCTGAATTCAATTTAACCCACACTACAACTTTGAGTGGTAGGCTATATTGTGCCCACTTACAAATGAATAAGTTTAGCCTCACAGGGGTTAAGTTACTTGTCTGAGATCACACAGCTTCCAAGTGGCAGGTTGAGGTTTAAATTTCAGCTGTCTGAGTCCAAGTCCTTACTCTTCACTGGCCACATTACACTTACCTTTAATGCTCAGTCCATTTTTTCCTCTGAATTGTAGACCTGGAAACAACACAGACCAAGATTATTCTCTGCAGTTGTACTGTGAGTGCTTAGAAGGCAGGGATCATTGCCAGTGATTTCTGATCACTCGATTCCTTTTTGATGAATGATGAAGGAGGCGGGGGTGGGGAGAGAAGAAAGAAAGGAGAGGAAAGTGAAGAAGGAAAGAGGGAAGAAGAGAGTGAAGGAGGGGAGGAGAGAGAGGAATTGATTCTCTTAACATGGGACAAAAGTCCTGCCTGCCAGGTGGAGTAGCTGCGTGAGAGGCAGGCAAGTGCTCACATCCTGGAGAAAAGTGCCCTGCAAATGGCTGGCACTGTCTTACACCCTGATCAGCAGCTCCGGCCCTCAGTCTACCAGGTCTGTGTCTCAGCACGTCTCATTACCACTGAAGAGGTTCTTCAGTCTACCACGTCTGAACAGACTACAATTAAATACACAGATGTATTCCTCCTCACCCGGCTGCTGAAAAGGAAATATTTTTGAAAAACATGACAACTCACTATCACAGCTCGAAGAAACTGAAGGAAGAGAGGGCTACAAAGGAGGCATTAAACAGAATTTTTAAAGGTCACTCTCTGATTTTGTGTGTTACTTTCCAAAGCGATATTTTTGAGATTAAAAAAAATATATCTGTGAATATAGCAATTACGGCCAGCCTCTGTCCTATGCAGTTAAATAATGGTTTACATCGGGGATCAACAACAGTCAGTGAGGCCCCAAAGCATCTGCTTTTTCTGCAGTCTGGCCCTGTGTGCTCAGGTCCAATTTGTTTTCCACTATTTCTCAGTCTGTCAAAAGAACAATCTGCGATCCTGTGCTGTTCTTATCTGGTGCTGGAGCCTTAGACTGTGTCCTATATATTGATATAAGGCTTGGGGTAACCTAGATTCTTTTGATGTGGCTTCTCAATGCTTTAATAAAGAGGACCCCCTCAGTGTCTTTCAGTCTCCAACCTCAAGGGTCAAATTGCTGTTTTCTGTGTTCACTCTTTCATCAGGGAGCGTGTGTGTGTGTGTGTGTGTGTGTGTGTGTATGCACGCCCCTGTTTATTCGTGTGTGTGTGTGTGCACGCACATATACCAGTGACTACTGTGTTGGCAACTTTCATCCTGAATATGTAAGTGTCTAATTGCATTTGCTATTTAGCAATTAACCACTTGCAGGTGCAACTAGTTGTGAGCACAGTTTTGCATGTGTGACTAATTGCAGGTGTAAAATATTTACCTCTTCAGTTCCCTTCATGGCTCAGTGGGACTCAATGCTAATTCTCCTTCACCATCTGGGTTCAGACTCATCCACTGACCAGAGCATCTCCTCAGGAGAGGGGCCACATGCGGAAGGCAGGAAGGCTATTGCAGAACAGCAAGGGATATGGAGGTGAAGGGGAGCAGTGCAGAGTTCACGAAATGCTCTGCAAGGGTCAGGAGCTCAGCTGATGAGCTTCCTCCCCAACATGCTGCTCAGGCAAAGCAGGGGGCTAGCTGCATCGTCAGGCTGTGGAACCTCCACATCAGAGCCTGGCATCTCCTCGGGTGAAGCCCCCTGTGAGGGGCATTGGCTTTCTGAAGGGTCTGCAGAGGGTAGCTCCGTCTCCTAGGACCCTCTACTCAGGCAGTGACCCTCATAGAGGTTCAGGAATCTTGGATTCCCTCTGCAGTATTATCACCACACCTTGTGATAGCTGCACCACTGGTCTCAGCTATTCATCTGCAAAGTGAAGGTGATACCCTTCCCCTCCTTCCTGGTGGGCCCCAGGGTGCCCTGAGAGGTAGGGGAATGTGACTTCAGCTGTGGACTTGCCTGGTGAAGAGCAAATGCTGTGTGCTGC